TCTTCTGCTTCATGAAATGATTTGAATGCTCTTTGTTACTTCTTTTGCGCGCAGGAGAGACCACCTTCCCCTGACATCATAGAGGCAGCTTCAAAGGAGTATTGTCTTCTGCTTCATGAATTGATTTTCTGAATGCTCTTTATTGAATCTTTTGCGCGCAGGCGACACCACCTTCCACTGACATCATGGGGATAGCTTCACAGGAGTACTGTCTTCTGCTTCATGAATTGATTTTCTGAATGATCTTTATTGCTTCTTTTGTGCGTAGGCGACACCACCTTCCACTGACATCATAGGGGTAGCTTCGCAGGAGTATTGTCTTCTGCTGCATGAATTAACTTGAATGCTCTTCGTTGCTTCTTTTGTGTGAAGGAGCCACCACTTTTCACTCGGCTGGGCGACGATATTGGAGCTGGGCTTTGATGCTGTCAAAGATTGCTTGAAAGTGGTCTTGATTGTTTGAAAGGAGCCTTGATTGTTTGGAAGACTTTGTTTGAAGGAGGTGGCAAAAGACATGGTGGTCCCCAAGCCTGTGGAAGAGGAGAAATCTTCACACAAGGCTTCTATTTCTTCACAAAGTCTTTGTAGTGAACAGCACCATGTGTCAGGATTCCGATTCAGTTCGAGGCTGGTCCGGAGTGTCATCACAGCATCTTATTGTTGGAAGCTCTGCTGGCAGGACTGTATCAAAAAGGTGGCTAAGACAACGTGGCTTCGACCTGATCATCTTGATCCACGCTTGGAGGTCCTTCATTTGCTGCGCTCAGTCGTTCAGTCGTTTGTGATTTGGAATGGTTGCAATTTGTCAGGTCAGGGACAAAATATAGAAGTTGCGTGAGCGCCAGGACCTTCAGTGAGGGGACATTTCAATAGAGAATTCCATTGCCTGCTGCAACTCCACATAGACTCGATCCTTGGCGATGTTTCAAAATAAAGTTTTCAAACCAAAAAGCTCTTTGGGCGTATACCGGTACTGTGTTGCTCGAGCCCGCGTGGGACCACTTTTGTCATGGTGTCCCCACTCATCTACTCTGACCAGCAACCGCTGAGAAGATGGACGCGCAGCAACCTGTTTGGTGCCTGAGCGATGTTGAGGTGTCCAGCAGATCAGCCAGGAGTAGAGCTGGGCGCCAGTGATCTTGCAAGGCGTGGAAAAGCAAGTGGGGCACGGCGCGACTTAACAGCAAATGGGTACATAGCTCAGTGGTTAGAGCGGCTGACTGCAGATCAGCAGGTCCCTGATTCAAATCCGGGTGTGCCCTCTGTGCTTTCGTTAAAATCTGCAAAGGTCTCCAGTTAACATAGACCCCAGGATGCCTTCTTCGGCCCATTGGCCAGCACACCAAGAACGCAGAAGGTATCATGGATGTCCTTGCGTATGACATAAAAGCCCTTTTGCAGAGCCTAGACCTGCAACAAGTTGTCAGGTTGGTTGCTGCATTGGGTTTAAAATGTTTAAAATTCAACAAGCACTTGAACGCACATGTGGTGTCAGTCCACTTTCAACTGAGGGCTGTGAGAAAGATCCGGAGAGGATGGAAACACGCAGCCAAGAATCTGGAGACAGAATGGCCAGAATCAGCCACTGGGAATTGGCCCCACATCGTGGGGATGGTGGCTGCCATGCAAGACCTACCAGAAGATGAGCCAGCAGAACTTGAGGCTTGCAGCAGCTCAGAAAACTTTGATTTTGTGGTTAGTTCTCAATCTTCTCACTATAGGCGATGGCAGCCGCTTGGAACCTCGATGAGCAGAAGAATTCGGATGAGAAAACAGAGCTTGACCTGTCTAGGCAGCTTGCCACAAAGCGTGTCTGCCTTGGCGCTTTCTTACGCCGGACTTTGTCATTCTTTCTGGGACCAAGGTCAGGAAGCGCTGAAATCTTTACAAGGAATGAGCGTGGTTTTGGATGATGAGGCGCATCAAAAAGCAGGTCTGTTTGTCCAGCTCGGTGTAATCACGTGTCAAACAGGATCCAAGTTCACCGCGCGCCTCGCAGCCTTCTCAGCCTTCTCATCACAAGGACTTGGTGATGTGATTTGTTTCTAGAGTTGTCTTATCAATTGTTTGGGTTCTTGCTGGTAATTGTCCTTTTCAGATTCAAATGAGAAAAGGCCCCCCCAACTCCACTGTGACCCCTGCTGTGAGGACTTGGGGCGGCCTTTTCTCATGGTCAAGTTTGAAGGAAATATTGCAAGTCAACCCAAAAGGAAAATTTCTTGCAATGTACTTTCCATTTGCCTCTTAGTGCTGTCTTTTTGAATTTACCAGATACAATTTGACCAACTGTCTCTTTTCACCAGTATCCTTGCAGGAGACCGCCAAGCAAGGGCATAAGGCATAAGGCTGAAGTTGAAAAGGCTCTGTTTGCTTCACGTTCTTCATGCATATGGTCACCGCTCCATTCAATCGATTGTGTTGTGCGTTGCACATCTTGAGGAAGGGAGTTCCAAGTACGACATTGAGTTTCTGTGAGAAACAAAAAACATTCACATGTCCGGGCAGGTGTCGAAGTGGCAAAACAAAACCCCACCAGAAGATGGCGTTTGGAGTCCAGGAGAGTTTCTTTTTCAGCTCAACAGTGCCAGCTGTTTGTTCCTAGCAGGAGGGGGAGGAGGAGACACCAGCAAGAGCCCCTTGCTTGGAAGGTGGCGGCCACATGTGGGGCCGCAGCTGCTCCGACGGCTTGGGGCAAGCTTGCGCAACCTGTCATTTGTTGTAATTTTACTACAGCTCTTCTGTTCTCTACAAAGTCAGTTCAAACAAACAAAGCAGGACACTTTCTCATTCTGGCACATTGCATTTTTCTTGTTGAGACACAGGCAACAGAAGGGCCGCCCATATTCGCAGCAAAGGCCTGACCCTCACCACTCTCTGTCTATGCTGTAGTGCTTTGTTTGAAGGTGGAGTCCAGGAATGGGGCTGAAGCTGCTCAGATGGCTCAGGACAAGTTGGTCTGAGGCCTTCAATAGGTCACTTGTCACCACACTGGTGTTATGATAGGAGGCAGCCACCCTGCAGCAAAGGCCTAAACCGTGTTGTAGCGCTTTGTTTGTCTTTGAAGGCGACGGATTGTTACAGTTGTTTCAGTCAACAGACTTAATGCTAAGGCTGAAGCTGCTCGAACTGCTCAGGACAGGGCTTCTGTTGAGCGTCAAGGCTTGTTTAATTGGAGCTCCAAAGCACTTCTTCCAAGAAAGGCCTTCTTGTCAAGCCCCTTGTTCAAAAACCACTGTTGCGAGAAATCAAGGATAAGCGAGAGGCAGTTACAAAGGAGGCTTGACCCCTGTCACTTTCTCTGGCGACTTTGTAGTTCAGAAAGAGTTTATCTTACCTTCACACGTGTCCAGGTTTCAGGCGCTCCAAGCCCGAAAAGCAGGAAAAGAAGGGCTCTTGATCGTGGATCCCTTCAACATTCAGAGGCCAAGTCATTTGCTCATTTCTCCAGATGGCCATGGACAAAGGCGTGTGACTCAAAAGTGCCTGAGCCACCTTCGAAAAGGGGTGCTGTTCCAGCCACAGAGGACAGATAGACAGATAGATAGATAGATATATATATATATTTATATTTATATTTACATATATATATATATAGAGATAATGGATATACTACTGTAATGCTTTGTTCTTCCTGTCATGCAAAGTACATGTTTTGAGCAGGAGTTCCTATCATTTCCTTTGCTGCACCAACCACCTGAATATTTGCATGCTACTTCAGTGCTCTTTTTGCAAAATGTGTTCAATGCCGCTGAGGAAGTTGCAGAAGCAGTTCACAAGACACCTTCTGCGCCTGATCCTAAAGAACAGGGCCCTGCCAGTGAAAAAAGGGAGGGGGCCAGAGCTGCCACAAAGCCTTCTACTGACGCCTATTGCATCAAGCGCCACAAGAGAAAGATTTATCCCACGGCCACTGCTCCTCCGACCGCAAGAACAAGAAGTAGGTAGTTCAATTGGTGGCGTCAGTGATCCCCGATGCTGATCACAGAATGGACACTTTGGCAGCTGAGCTAACCACAGGCAACATCACTGAAGAGGATGCCATTCGGATTATGAACCACATCAAAGCCAAGAAGCAGACGGACAGCGATGAGAAAGATAAGGCTGAAGCTGAAGGCTAGCCACGTTGAATGGATGACACCAGAGCCATGTGGAGCCTGCAGTGCAAAAAGGAGTTTAACAGTCCATGTTTGATGTTGCTCGTTGGAACATTCAGACGTTCCAGCTCTTCTTCTTGCTTCTTGTGGTCTCACTCTGTTCAATTGCTATAAACATTTTTCAGCATTGATGTAAAGCCTATTGTTTGGCACCAGGTCCTGTCCCTGCGCTTCAAGGTCCAAGTGCCAATTTTTTGGTTTGTGTGTGAATGCTGTGCACCCAAGTTGTCAGTGCTGTTTCCTGTCACTGCGCCTCAAGGTGCCACGACCTGTCCAAGTGCCCTCTTTTGGACATTCTGTCCAATTGGTCAGTGCGCTTTGATTGCCTTTCATTGCGCTGAGCAAGTTGATGCTTGACTTTTCCAACGCTGCTGGATAAGGCAGTCTTTTGCATTCTAAGATCTTCACAAAATGCCCTTGCACACAAACTTCCAGGGTGGTTTGATGTAATCGTTTGTTCATGAGACACACACATACCACCCAATGAAAGGGCGCGAACAAAAGCAAGACTCTAAAGCGAAGCTTGGTATTTCACATTTCACTGTGAATCATTCCTCACATTGTTTCACATAGCCATGCCGATCCCAGAGTGCCTGGAATGGTGCTTGCGTCCCATGGATGATTTGCAGCTGCGTGACATATATGGGCACGCCAAAGGGAAACTACCACCATCTGTGCTTGAGCTGTGCGTCTATTGCTATGTGCTGATGTTTATGGAGCTGTGTTGGGGCATGCTGTCATGAGAAGTTGCTGGCGAGCTTCAAAGCTGGTTCCGAGAGGTTCCTTGGCTGTTCCTTGTTGCGGTGTTGCCAGGCTTGCACATATGTAGGCACATGTGCTACACTGACGTTCGCACTTTTGAACGCAGCATTGTCCAACAAACACACACCACTTGTCAAGCAAATTAGTTGACACATGCCAAGTGTGGGGATTGTTTGATCAGTAACTTCATGCCCAACTGTTGGGGTTCTTCTTGGGCTTTTTGCTTTACAAATGGCTGCAGGCTGGCACCAAAACAGCCAGAAAAATGATGACTTAATGACAACACTCCACACCGAAGAGGCAAGGGACTACCATGACATTAGGAAAACCCAACGGGGAAACATGCATGCTCCTTTCCTGGGCCTTGAGATGACTCGAGACGTACCCATAACAATACAGGAAACACACAAGTTATGTTGCTGACTGCATGCTACAGATTGTTGAGTGGCAACCAATTGTTTTCAGCTGCCAAGACCCTTTTTCCAGACCGCATTGCAAAGTGACATGGCAAATCAAAGTTTTCGACAGTTTCAGGATGTTTCACAGATTGTTTGCGTTGGTTCATCTTTAACTATAGGACATGTTCACCAAACCTCCATCCTCCATCCACCAATTCCAGAAAATTTTCACCAGTCCAGCCCCATTTTGACCGCGCATTTTTCACGGACCCGAGGAGTGACGAGGCGGACTTTACACGGTACTTGCAAACGCACCTGGCCCGGGAACCAAGGCGCTGGAGCGACGGACTGATGCATCACATCACCTATCCATACCTATCCCAGACACTCCATGTATGGAATGTTTTTCTACATTGACCGCTGAAAAGACCCCAAGGTTGGTAATGAACTGTAATTACGGTATGTATATGAATATGCCATACATGAAGTGTTTGAGTATAGTTTTAATTTAGCACATTTGGGAGGGATTTTTTTGATCTTCTCTTCCCCACGACAAGCTGAGCAAGTCAAGTCGAAAGTTTGGCGAACCTGGCTTTCTCGGGGGGACGCAACAGGCTCGGGAGTCCGTTATTCGGTTCCCGAGGCGATCGGAGCCGGCGCTCCGCTGGGATGTATTCACCGGTGTGGCGGTCTCTTGGGAACCCGGTGTTTGTTCGTGCCTTGCATGTGATCATGACCCTTCGAACTTGGCATTTACCATGATTCACTGATTTGAGTCCACGTACGCGTGGGGTTGGCCCCCATGTGGTCTGTGAAACCTGAGAAACAAAACCATACAAAACCTGGAACTGGATTGAGAATCCAAGTTACAAAAATTCAGGAATCCCTGCCGAGGAGTCACAAGTTCAAGCCAAGAAGGCCAGATTGGTATTTGCGAATTGGCCACATGTCCCACCTTCTTCGGTCCTTGCATGCTAGTCCTAGTACTCACATCCAAACTGATCTATGTCCGTCCGAAAAGTGTATTTATTCGATGCGACGCGGTGACCGTTTATGTTTTTTCCAGGGAATAATGAGAAGATCACAGGAGAAATACCCACCCAGGAAATTCAGCCATCAATCAAGGACCATCAACAGTGGCCAAGAGTGACCAACGGCAACCAAATAAACGTATCAACCAGCCGAACAAACAAGCCCATCAAGCCAGCAAATCCACCTTCAATCAGCATTGCGCATGAGCCTGAAAACATGCCAAGTGGCACAATTTAAGCCACACGCGCCCCTCTAGTGACTGCAGCGCCCGTGCTCAAGTCTCGTCGCGCAGCTCGCGCGGCCTCGAACGCCTCGATCTCTTTAGGTCACCTACGCGCAGAAGCAGAAGCTCTTGGAGCTTCTGAAGCATCGCATCGCCGCCCTGGAGGCACGTGCTCGGACACGAGGTTGTTCGGCTTGGGCTTGAGTCACAGCTTCGGGTTCATCGGTGTGGGTCGATTGCATGTTATGCCATGTTATGCCAATGTGTGTGCTGTCGACAGCCAAGACAAGGTGAAGTCTAGTTATATGTTCAATTCATTTTGCAGACCTATGATGGCTTTGGTTGCATAGTAGTTAAGCTGCACATTAGTTTCGTGTGTGTGTGTATGGTGCCATGATCCACAACCTGTGTCCCGACCAAGACTGAGCCGCCTCAGAAACCTCAGAGGAACCTTGAACAGAAGAAGCAAACTGCAGTTGACTGTATGTTTGAATGCCAAAGCACCAAGTTCTTGCAAACAGAGTTTCTTTTTTTGTCAGAAAAAACGGTGTCTAACAGTGATTGTTTTCTTTTTTTGTATGCATCACACTTCTCACAAAAAGACACCACACTTCTCATGTCCAAGGCGCTCTCAGCCGCCCTTCACACTGCCTGCTGAATTCCCGCCAGCCCGATCCAGGAGATCGAGGGCAAAATGAGTCGCCTCGAGAAGATGACCAGCGAGGAGGAGCAACTCTTTGAAGCCGTGGGCGCTGAGGAGCCCGGATGAGAAGAGATGTTCTTCGACGGGTGAAGCTGTGCTAGGAGGGTTTCATATAATTAGGGGACAGGAGCATAAGGGGGCTTGGTTGAGAAGGAAAACGCAGGGGATGACGGGTGTGTGTGCCGGTTGAAACTGAAGATGCGCCTCAAATGTGGACTCCGTTAGACTCCTTTGAGTTCGTGTCATGATCATCCGCTCTTCGATCGAATGATCGAACCCCCCAAAAGCTTCACTCTGGCTTTCACCAGCTGCTTGGTCGTTTCGTCCCATCGGCCCCCAAGGAGCTCCGGGAGAAGGTCAAGCAGACACGTAGCGAGTTGCAGAACATGGTTGACGCGAAGCGTCTCACCAGCGCCGAGAAGAGCGACTTCCTGGAGCCTCGGGAAACGGGAGACTTCCCTCTGGACCCAGCTGAATGGTTCGGAAAATCGTCCAGTCTACCGATTGGCTGGTCTCCCTGGTCTCCCGAAAAAAAGAAAAAAAAAACACACTCAAGATGTACCCTCCCTCCAAGAATCAACTGGGAAAATGGCTTGTTAAGTTAGTGGGATGTTTGTAGAGGAAAACAGTTGTCCAAGGGGCCACCTTCGATTTCTTTGTTGGATGGAGGGTAGTACCCCTCAGGGGTGTCGTGCTGGGTGTGATAGTTGTAAAGAGGGAGACCGCTTGGGCCGCGGGTAGACGGGTAAACTGATTGATTTTTCCTTCAAACCCAGGGGGTTCCCAGCTTTCTAATGCACACTCGTATGAGTCAGCGATTTCTTTGCATAAATGGTGTAGAACTGGTGAAGGCTGTTCTGGCAGCCGACAAGTTTGAGGTTTGACTTCAATGATTTCTATCATGTTCAGAGTATCAGATGTTCTACTACTGTATATTTACACTAACAGTTAACATGTTTTGATGTTTGTGATGTTTTTGGTTGCTCTTTTCTCTTGAGCGATTTTGTGCCATATCTCGGATGCTGTGGATGTTCCGCTTTCTTGGAACGGAGGTCTTCTCACGACCTTGCAGTCTTGTTGCTGTGAGATCGCTACGGTGAGATCTTCCTTCCTCAGGAACAGCTGGAGAGCAAGATTGCTCTCACAAAAGAAGAGCTCTCCAAGGCCGAGGCGCGTTTTTCACGTTTCGGCGGCTCTTTGTGCGCTTCTTTTCGGCGGTACTTTCCCGGTTTGTTTGGATGGCCAAGAGCAACGCATCTATTGTACAAGTGTTAGTTTGTGCCTAACATATATAAGTTTAAAACAACAACCACAACAACAACACCAACACCAACACCAGCAGCAACAGCAGCAACTGCAACAACACCAACAAAGCATCAAACCCTGAAACACTGTTGACATGCGTGCCTGTTGACATTCTTTTGACCCACTTGTTGGAAGGTCGGTCATGTTTCACGGAGTTTCACTTGCCAAGGGCCAGGGGGTCTATGATGTCCTTCACCTGACATCAGGATGGTTTTGGGTCATTGGATTCTTGGGATGTGAATGGGATTCCTATTCACGCTCGTTGTTTTTGCGTTCGTTCTTTTGGAGTTAGAACCGAACCTGTTGGCTAAGCTCGTCCAACAAACAAATGGGGTGGTTGGTTGCAAAGCAGGTGGTGGATTCATTGCATGTTAGGGTGATGATTAAAGAACTAATATATACCCACTGAGAGTCATGTTATGGAGCTCTGAAACCACCAACGGCTCTGAGTGTGTTGCGGGTGTTTGGGTGTCATGGAGCTTCAGTGATCTGCACCGAAGCTCGGGCCCTGTTGCCGTGAAGCCCTGCAACGGTTCTTCACAGATGGTAAGCCACAACTGGTCGACATCGCTTTTAAAGGTATTTGTTCATTTGAAAAGGGGTCAACCAGAGTGCGACCCACAGCCAGATGTCACCAACAAATGGGCTGGGCTGGGCTGGGGTAGTCCCAATCTCCACATGAAGTCGGGATTCGGACTCTGGGATCACCCGATTTCTTTCTGCGCTTGAAAGAACAGGCGGATGGCAAAAGTAAGAAGGCGCAGGCGCGTCAAGCGCCAAGCGCAAGCGCTGGGCTGGAGTCTAGCGCCAATGGGTGTCCATGAATGGATGACCACTCCTCGCCCATGTATGGGTCCTGGAGTTTATTGTTTGGGGTTTCTGCAGGACTATGAGTCCAATGGGCAGAGGCAAACAGAGTCTTGTACGAACATGACACATCCAGTGCTGTTTCGAGAGCTGGGACCCCGCGGACGTGACCAGAATCTGTGACGTCAGTCGATGTTTATTTCTCCATCGGCTGACTGGTGCCACTTGTAGGGAATGAGGGTGGCTGAGCCCCAATAGAGATTCCTTTGGATCCATTCTCTCATTCCCTACGAGTCGCACCAGTCAGTCGGACTGGGTGCAGTCTGACTTCGGAAGTTGGTTAGAACTGTTTATGAACTTTTTGCTTCAAGGCGACTTGCCCAGACTTGCCCCATGAAAAAACATGTACGACAAACAGTACCCAGACACTCCATGGGACTGCCATATATGCCTACATTGGGGTGGTTTTGGGGGTCAATGTAGGCATATATGGCATACATGGAGTGTCTGGGCCATTTTTCTAGTTTGCTGCTCAATGGAACGGGTGTGGCAGAAGCTTCGTCCAGGCTCTCAGCGAGCACTTGGAGGTCGGGATGCGCCTCGGGGTTGGACGCGCGTTTGGGGTCTTGCGAGGGCGGATTGTGGCCGGATGGAGGATTCTGTCGTGGTCATTTTTTCACATGTAGGTATTGGTTAGGGGAACAATGCATAGAACTCACTGGTGAGGGAGTCTTCCTATGTACGAGATACACCCATATCATATGGATCATTCTGTTCATAGATGTGTTCGACTGGGTAGTCAATTATATTCAATATATTCAATCTTATATGGTCATGATGCTGAGCCAACAAGGTCTTGTTCTTGGTGGGTGTTGGTGACTTCCAGGTGCTGAGGATTACACAAGAGACATCATAGGATTGGATTCAGATGGATTCAGGGCGCCCCCTATTGAAAAGGTATAAGTTGGTCGCTCGGAACGCTCGGCCGTTCGCGAACGGCCGGTCTCCAGCCGTTCAGGTCATGCATTCCACGCGCAGCTCCATCAAGTCGGCCGAGCCCGTCGCCCCGGCCGCAGCGGTCGCGCGCGGCTTCGCGCGGAGCGCCGGAAACGGTCGGAGCGCGTTTCGCGAGCTCCCCAGGTCCGGTGGTGTGATCTTCGATTAAAGTGACCTGGACCAGGGGCCTGGTTTTGAATAGTATACAGGAGTCTAGCTTTTCATGAGGCCATGCCATTCGAGTGTTATAAGTTTGTGAGTTGGAGTGCAGTAGTCTGTTTGGTGCTACTATGTGCTACTCTGAATTTTTACGTTTTGAATATTTTTGAATAAGCAATGCCAGAATATCACAAACTGAGACTCGCTGTCCATCCTCTCCCGAGGCTCCTTTGCCGCCGCTGAAGCATGGGGAGCAGATCCGGAAGCTCCGGCTGAAGCTTGCAGAGCTTGCGCAGCTGGAAAAGGCGCCGATGCTGTTGCTGTTCTAGAGTCTAGTAGCGTGCTTGTTCCTAGTAGTACGGCCAGGAGCCCCGTTCGTAGCTTCTTGCTCCTAGTATCTATACTATAGGTTCCATTTATGTAAATTTGGAGTTCCAGACTGCGCAGATCTCGGGTAGATTCGCACAGATGTTTGAGTTTCAACGTGCGGCTTTTGAGTCTTTTGAGGGGCAACAGCCACAGCAGTTCCTTTCCTCCAGGTATTAGGGCCTCTTCGGGCCTCTCTTTCTCTTTTCGTCTCTCTTCTCATGCGACAGGACAAGCGAGGATGCTCGGGCCGCATGTGCGTTCCATGACGGGGCAAAAAGCAGGAGGAGAGGCACAGGGAGTGTGGATATTTGATTTTGGAACGATTGGCTTACTTGGACATGCTGGACACTCAAAACCGTTAAAGCCCTTGCGGTAGGCAGGTCTGGATTGAAACAATGTCCCTTTGGTCCTCATGTTCCAATTATAGACCCAAGTACCCACCATGTTGTCACCAGACCTTGTCAGACTAGTGACTAGGCTGGGTTTCTCTTAGCTATTAGTTTGAAGGCCATCGCTAGTAGGTTGAAGGCCATCGCTATTAGGTTGGCCATCGCTAATAGGTTGGAGGCCATAGGCCATTGCTATTAGATTTCTTTTGCTATTAGTCTTGAAGAAACACCAAGCAATCTCTGTGTAAAAGGTTTCAACGCTTCACATCTCCGCATCTACGTCAAAGGTTCAGAGATGTCTTGTAGCATCATGCAAGTCGCTTGCAGACACCAGATATGTGAGGTTCTTTGGATCACTATTCCTGTGAAGCATCAGCTGCTAGGGTCCAAGAAATGCCCATCCCGAGAACTCACGTATATTCCATGAATTACACCGTCTGTATTACTCCAGTCCAGTGCGTTTCGGTGTGTCCGGTGGCCCCCGTTCCGACGCGGATGGCATAGCCCCGACGTTCGGATGACCAGTTGCCATACTTGGAGTGTTTGTATCGAGTGATTTCCAGTGCCCCTTGCTGCCGCAGAACCGAGGAAACTATTCCCTCGATGAGCTGAAGAGGTCAGAGATCCGATTGGGTAGATGTCCAGCAGACATGGACGATGGATTTTTGGGGGTACCAAACCGAAGAACACTTTCTCAGTCGCGTGGTGACTTCCAAATGCATGTGGTTTCTTTGTCAGAAGAGACCAAAAACATCCAAGAACTATAAATCAATGTATAAAGACGCTAGTAGGAACAAGGTTCGCTACTAGTAACAAGTGCATCGCTACGTTCGTAACAAGTGCCTTACTAGCGTAACAAGTGCATCGCTTCTAGAAACAAGTGCCTTACTGCTATAAAGACTCGTCTTGCTCCTTCTCATGGCTTAACCGTTTGGACCTCGGGACCTCGGTCGGTTCTGTTGCTTCGGTCCCGCGGGTGATCCGGTTCGGTCGTCCGCCAACTCGAAGACAACACGTAGTATACTGTATAGGGAGTATAGGGTTATTATAAAGGTCGTATATATAGTACAAAACAACATGTGTCTTAAAGGTTTATAAACCAGGTTATATATATAGTACAAGAACATTTTTTAAAACCAGCACCACTTGGGATGGTTTTCTTTCGACCCCCCTGAAGATGTGTTTTTTTCCATCCAATAACCACCCAAACTGGGTGGTGCTTGTATATGTCATCTGTAGATTTCCTTGTTTTTGTTGTTACATCGTACCCAAAAGATATGTTGGCTCCTTTGCACGGAGCCAATGTTCCAGCTTCTTCAGTTCGTGACCTTTTAAGAGTCCTGTGTTTGTGAGCCGTTACAGGTCTGTTTGTGACCGGAGAACCCGGGGATGAAAAGCTCACTTTGATCAAATTACGCTGTGTTTCTTCCCAGGCAGTGGATCAGATCACTAAGGAGTACTTGAGAGTAGAATCCAGAATCCAAAAGACCGGCTTTAGTCCATGTGAATCGTGAATCCCCATATTCACACCATTTTTCACCATTACAACAAGAGCTGGGTGGTGGAAGTTCAACGTTTATGCTGCATGATCCTGCAAGCTGGGTACGTTAACAAAGATCTGTACCTGAAGCTTCCAAAGGATGGTCCAAGGTAGATCCAGACGTAGTTTTTGGGGCTTCCAGCCAGGTGACCCTTTTTGAAGGTGCTGGTGTTTGATTTGTGCTTTTGTTGTTGTTGAAGCCGTGTTTTTTTGTTCTTCGTGTAAACTGGGCTTAAGTGTCGACCACTATGTGACCAGACTATCTTGACCAAGTCTTGGTTTTTGGACCAACTTTTTGATAGATCTTCATAGATGAACGGATATGATCGGAAGAAAAATGACACACCGCAGACTATTAGCAGACCTCTACAGACTCCGATCAGCCCCCTCGTCGCCCTCGCCCTCGCCCCTTCGAGGCTGGGCGAACGCCCGGAGCTTCAGGAGGCCGTCGAGGAACTCGAGCGCCGCGCGAAGGGTTGGCTCGAGAGCGACGAGGTGGGCGATGGCGTGTGCCGGCGTGTAGCGAGCGGACGGACGGACGAGTCGTCATCGGACCTGACAGAGGTGGGTGATTGTATTCAACTAGACCTCCCAAAGACCACTGGAAGAAGGAACATAGACCAAATCCATCCAAATCCCATTGGTTGGGGGCGAGAGCCCTCTCCAAATACACCACGTTCAAAGAGGCATTCCGAATTGTGAAATCAGTTGGATTGGAATCTGCCCCCCTTGCTGGCCAGGACCATAGAGTTCATGCGGGGTACGTACCTTGTTTGTCATTGGCCATCAGAACAATGGCATTTACCACATGTGTTGAGAGGTGTGAGCAGGTGCGAGAAGCAAACATGTGCTGGCCCTACCTACGCGGTGTCAGTTTACAATGGCTGTCCATTACAATCACGTTCACCACCCGTCTTGTGGGTCTTGGCTTCATTTCAGGCCTTCCCGTTCGACCCCCTTTGAACGTAGACAAGTAATTATTCTTTGGGGCCAAAAATGGGGTCTCTCGATGCACAAAGGCATCCCATCACCATCCATCGTTCGCATCACCCACGTGCATGCTTTTCCTGTCACCCGAGTCTACGTTGTAGGGCTGTAGGGCTGAGGCGATTCCTTGGCACTGAATTTCTTTTTCAGCCATTTTTGTGGGATGGGAAGTGGATAAAATGGCTTTGACTCTGACTGAACTGGGAGTTTGGTTGCCAGTGTGATGTGTTTTTTTTTTCTGTCGTGCGCTTGCAAATTTTTGTCCATGTCATCGTTTGATTGAGCAATGTCTTGTCCGGGTCAATTATATGAGGTACAACATGCGAGTGGACTGGACCCTTTATTCCCGCGTTTGACAACTCTTGCGGTTTCATTCAGCTTATCTGCGGGTCTTGTTTGAAGCCTGTGGTACTGAAACAGTCACACCAGGAATTTTGCTGATCTTGGATGGTCTGTAATCCCGAGTACCTATTAATAAACACTCCCCAATTAAAAAAACACCACGTCCGAACCCCTAAATTCGGTTTATATTTGGTTTTAAATTGCCGCCCTTTCAAACCGCTACTAAGCTACCAACATGGTCGATTTTGGGGGTAGTTTTTTTTATTAGGTTCCCCAAAACTCCACCATGACACGCCGCGCTTACACCAGCAGGCTTTCCTTCCCTCAATGGCACGGACTCACGCAAACGCACTTGCCACCGAGGTCATGCAACACCGCATGGCACAGCGACATCACCTTTCGAAAGCTTTAGCTGTTAGTCTACTGAAGAATCACTATTCTAATGAAGGTTTTTTGTAGGGGAAAAGGAAGACCCTTCGATCTGGCGGTTTTTTGCATTTTTGATACGAGTTTAATAAAGGATTTTATATAAAATTTTCCTGGATTACTTTTTGGTTTTGAAACTCTTTCCAAGTGACACTATTTTGGGCCCCCCGATTTCAGGGACCCCCTATTAGAAAAAATGCGACCGATGTTTTTTTAAAAGGGGGGAGGGGGGGGGGGGGGGCCCCTGTTTATTATTAGGAGGACGGGATTAGTCCAAAATACTGTATTGAATCGGGATAGGGTCCCAAGTAAGCTTCGCGATCACTGTTACGCTGCTGAATCAAAAAAGATTCACAAAGACCAACTGGCAGCACGGGACCTTGGCTGACAGTGGGAACAAAGTATCTCCTTGACTTTCACCTGCCAGAACATGCAAGAACTCTCCGGATCATATGAGAGATCATCCGAGAGATCATCCGGTCACTCCAGTCACCCACTGTCATTGACGAAGATAGCAAAACTCTGAGAGAATCACAGGTTGGTGGATCAATCCACCATAGATCCGTTCATTTGTTGTGGATCAACGTCACAACAGTGCTTCTTCCGGCCCCCCTTGTAAAACCTGTCCAACGCCGATTCAGGGACCCGAATGGCCCTCAGTACTTTTCGGCGCTTGATGGATCGAATCATGTCGGACGCTCCAACCCGATCGGGTCTGGATTCGACCCCGGGCCCGACTCGACCCCTCCAGTCTTGTTTGGATTCGACGGACCTTTGGATGGGTTTTGGGCCCATGAGCGTTTGGGTTTTAATGATGGAGGTTTGTTGTAACTGGTTGTTTGTATGCTACATTCTCTTCTTCGTTTGTTGTATGTTATTGGTAGCATTTGCTATGTCCAAATTGGTTTGTTCTAACTCTTGAAGAGGGGATTCGCTCTTGCCCCGGCCGGTTTCGGTGTTGGATCACCCGCCGGAACGTTCCGGCGGAACGTTCCAGGTCTTTGAAGAACGTCTTCAAGCAGCAGACGCAGCAGATTAGTGTTTGGGTGGAGTGGTTCCAGTTGGGAACAATTGGCTCTCACATGCTCTCACAGTAACGACTCTCCGAAAGAAAGGCCCTCTTTCATCATATCCTTCCAAACTCTTGTTTCCATTCAAATATCTTATGATATTTTTGTACACAGAAATTGCAGGTGTGCAGTGGCTTAAACCCCCGCTTGTGATGCTTTTGGTTGACCAACAGATTGCGCTGCTGTAGCATTGTTCCCCACTCCCTGCCACCCCAACAATCAATGTCATCGGCCTAGAAACAACCGATCTGCTTTGTTATATTGGCTTTTGATATATTTGCGGATTCCCCACCCAGAACATTCGGCCCTATAAAGCCTCAGTTTGCAATTGTTTGAATCTGGATTTGGAGCTTCTGCATGCCCTCCAAAGCCATAGGCCAACCTACGCTTGGGCGGCAAAGCGAAAGCCGCGTGGGGCAAGCCCAGTCATGCTGCGGTGCGGAAGGTATATAACTGGTAGAGCGGACTGATTGGTATTGTTTCTTTTTGTTTTTTTTCTCATTTTCTGAATCCGATAAACTCGTTCCAGACGCTGATGTTTTTCCCGGAACAATTGTCAGATGCTTGCATGCAGATACCAGGTATCATGTGTCGTGTCGATTGCGGAGAATTGTCACATCAAGATGGTGTCCAGCAAGATCATTGACCAGTCGGGACAGGTTCTTTGTAGCCAAGATTAAGATGACTTCCAATTTTACAAAAGGTTCTGTTGGATGCATTAAAAGATATTTTTAGTATTTACTGTATACCGTATTAATACACAAGGAATCACATCTTGTTTCTTTGGAGACATTTAATCCAAGGATATTGTCCTTGTTGATTCCCACCATGGAACAAGAAGTGATCCATGAAAGATGCTAGAAATCCGATGACATCCATATATCAAAAGGATTCACTTCAAAATGAAGTCCCAGGAAAGTCGCCATACACACTCGAAAACCAGGGTGGACCCCGACCCCCCACACATGTTTGACCCAAGTTCCTCTACCAAACCTCATGCGTTTCCACCTCGTGTCACTCACACCTCCACACGGTCTACCACGGGTCACCGCCGTCCGCAGTCTTCGCTTCGGGTCCTCCGTCCGAGGCCCCGGGCGACGGGTGGCTACAGCACCGTGACGGGCGGGGCGAAGCCCGCCAAAGCCAAGGCCAAAGCGCCGGGAACGCGGAACGCCTTCGGCGCTCTTGGCTGAGGCTAATCCACCGACCCGGTGGAAGAGACGGAGGAAAGCGCCAAGGTAAAAAGAACTGGTTCATCAAGAGGTAAGAGGTTGGAATCTCTGCATTTTTGCTTTGCAGATGTTTTCATGGACTGGCCCAAGAGAAGACTCCATGAGCAAAGGACGTTCCGCCACTGGTTGTGATGGCCCTGCATGTGATGGGCCATGGGGCACTCCGACATCCACAGTTGAGCGGGAGGTGAGCCATAGAGAGACAATCGACATCACATGTCCCAAATCCCAAGCACGGCATGTATGCGATATTTGCCTACATTACGGGCATGTATGGCATACATGGAGTGTTTGGGATTTGTTGGGATGCAATCGACAATGTATACTTCCTTCACTGTGAACAGGACAACTTATTATATACATCTCATGTAGAGTGGTAGAGCATAGGTGGTGTGCAACGTGTACAAGGGGTCACGCCTAGTGACTTAGTGGGCTACTTCAGAACTACATGGACCACTTCATTCCCCATGAAAGAGGGGTCACCCTTAGTCACCCCTGTTCTTTTCACCTCCGTCTCTCCACTGCTTCTTCGTTGGACATGGCGGGCGATCCGGGGCAATCTCAGCGACTCAGCGCCGCGAGCGGCAGATGTACAGTTCAGCGGGGACCTGGTCAAAAAGGCTTTGTTCAACTCGACTTGGTAGTAATGGTTTCAGAGTAGATGGTATACAATGTCCAAGTTGGGTGCTTTAGATGGAAACTTCTAGAAAGTCTCAGTAAAAGCCCTGGCAAAGAGCGACACCTGCAACCTGATGAGGAGGGGATAGGAATCCATGAAGTGTCTTCGTTCCAACTTGGCGTTTCCACAACAAATCCGAGAAACCGACCAAACCCCACCAACGAATCATCCGAATGTAGACTCCTGATTAATTAATCAAACCCCCGATATTATATGATATAAAGATGGTTTGTTATCAAAATGAAGGGGTTACTACTCAGGAGAGTGACCAGCAGTCACAAAGGGGTGCTTAACGGAGGTTAGGGGTGGCCATTATCCACTCACTTGGGCACTCAACACCACCCCTTTGTGACTCCTGGTGCATAAATCCTACTGATACCATCCCAATATCCTCCCATGGCCAGTCCTGACGCTTCGTGCGTTCGCAACTTCCTTGGGAGGGACGTCCCATCCATGACAGTCCAGTTCAAAAGGTCTGGATCCAGGTCTCTGGCGCCTCGGGACCGGTGTTGTATGGTGTCGTGGAGTCGTATCGATTCTGGTTGAGAGTCAATGGCGCAGACCGCGCCGGGGGTCCATCTGGTGCCAGGAGGGTGCAGTAATGTACGTAGTGCTCAGCGACTAGGAGGGACTCTTCAATTCGTGAAATTGATCGCCACAGACTCCTAAACTGGATCATGCCAGAAATTTGTTATCATTCTGACCCAGACCATCCATGGGACTGCAATAGTACATTTACCCAATGAACATCGCCCATTCATGCAAGTAACTATTCCAGTTCCATGGATGGTCTGGGTTATGTCATTTTGGAATCCTGGCCGTGGTATTTGTTTTCCATGATGCTGCTGAACAGATGGCCGGTGAGGAAAGCTTTTACAAAGCACATGAAAGCAGACTTTCTTCTTTGTTTAATGTGGGTGTGGCTTCAAAGATGAATACAACCAAACATAAAGAACACACGTGTGGTGACCTGGGCTATATTCTGCATAGAATTTATACTGCTGATTTGGGTGTAACCTCACGGGTTCTAAGTTCTGATGATATTAAATCTTGCTTTTTCTGAACTGCAGTGTCCAAGAAGACCAGTCCCCAGTCCATCAAAAGATACTGTTCTTGAAGGGCCCATCTCTCAACCGGGTGATGTTCAAACCGCTGCAACCCACCGTTCAGACGCTGCAGGTGTGGCCAGCGAGCTGCGTTTGGAATACGCCGCTGCGAGCTGCGACCGAAAAGCCTCACAGCGACTGAGACGGGCCCTTCAGTGTTTCTTGTCCTTCCAAGTCCAGGGTGTCATCATGGTCGGAAAGGGCTTTATATATGGTTTACCCAGAAAGGCTTGTTATTTGGTTTGGGTTCGTAAAACTGTTTGTTTTCAGACTTCATAGCCGGATTGTCCCTTAATGCCTCTTTTGCTCTTTCCTCATTTGCAGCAAGCTCCTTCCCTGAGCAATCTGAAGTGAGACACGAAAGCCTTTCCGTGATCAGGAAGCACTTCCACCTTACTATGTTTAATGTGTTTCTTGTTCTTCCCTTGGCAGTAAGTGTGACTTGCAGTTTCGCATTGTCAATACTAACAACACAGGCGGAGCTTGGAGGCTTGGAGATGATACACAATATCCACTTTTTGACCAAGTGCTTCTTGGGGCATGTGAGCTAGATAAGACTTGTTTTTGGTAGATCTGTTACAGGAGCGTGGTTTCGCCTTCGCGTCAGAGCCATGAGCTTCGCACCCCGGTGTGGCTTCGCACATTCTCGCTGCGAAGCCACGTTTTCACTGTTCGCCGTGGTGCTTTACTTATCGCCATTGCTGCCATGTTTTGCCGGGCTGGGCTCGAAGTGTCCCTGGAAGGTTCAGAGTCTCCAGCTGCGTGGACATGTGGCCCTTTCCGCCTCGCGAAGAGATGTGCTGCTTGGGGGAGCCTTGTCACAGACTGAGCTTCAGAAAGTAAAACCGATTTGCGAAGTTCCCTTGCATCGATTGAAACCGGTCGATGGACAAGTGGGTGGGCAATTTGCCAGCATCAGCGCTGTGCTCGGAGGGGAATCAGTGGAACTGATGCTTGATACTGGTCTCTCGGAAGGGATGGTGACTCCTTCCTTGGCCAAGAAGCTGAAGCTCCAGCCCATCGGCAGTGCAGAAGGTGCCACCGCCGGAGGTGATGCCACTGTGCAGCTGGTGCAGCTAAAAGATTTGACCTTGGAATGTGGTGAGCTCTTGGAACCTGTTACGGCAGCCGTGGCCAGCTTTCCAGAGGAGAAAATCGACCAAAAATGGTCTTTGAATGGGATGCTTGGGTATCAAGCCCTTCAAAGTTATGATGCTGACATTGATTTCCCCAGAGGCAAGCTGCGTTTATGGCGGCCGGGTGAAGGTGCTGCTGTGGCTGCACAGGCAGGATTGGCCAATGTGGAGGCCGTGGTCTTACCCGACTTCGCCATCCTTGGAGTTCGTGTCATGCAGCCTGAGAGCCGTGCCGCTGCGGCGCTGGGCGTGATTGATACGGGTGCCGGCTTTTCGGCCATCACCCCCTCTGCTGCAGTGGCGCTGAAGGCTCGTGCGGGAAAACAGGCAGTGACCATCGTTGGTGTGGATGGACGACCCTTACAAATGCCTTTGACTTCTGAAGTCACATTGCCTTTGGGAGGGAAGGAGTTGCCAGGGGGTGGATGGGAAACAGCTGTGTCCTTGAAGACTACATCGGCTGCTCTTGGGGATTTGCCTGCATTGCAGATCTTCGCGAATGGCAAGCCTGCAGTCCTCCTGGGATTGGATGTACTCGGAAAACGTCGTCTCGTGTTCGCCGCGGGTAGTGGGCCGAAGCGCCAGTTGTTCATTGGTCCGGACGAAACTCGATGAGCCAGTTGTTCGCCGCTCAGATGCAGAGGAGAAATCCGTCCAGCGGAGTTGGCCTGTTGGGGACCGCAGGTCCTTTGATGATCCTTTGCCGCTGACATTTTACTGATCGCTCAACAACGTAGGAACATCGCTAGGACCATCTAATCTATGCGAACTACGAGTTCCACCCACAATCGAACATCATCTGATCCGAATTGAAGCAGGTCCAAACTCATTGCTTCGCAGCATTTGGACATGTTTGGCTCCAAATAAATCGGTGTGGATGGATTGCCCTTGAAATTATGCAGAAACATCAGAAACCGCTCAATACATCTCAATACTGAAGGAAGAAATCCTACCTGGAACAGAAACTCCGCTTTGCATCACTGTACTCAAGGAACAGTGTAGGTTCTGGGTCACGCGGGATGTGTTTCTTTTTCCCACTATAAGTAGGTGATGCACGGAGATTGTTTATTTTTTTTAAATGACAGCACGGTTAAACGGTAGATTGGATGCCATGAAGTCGGTCTCGAGTGGTGACCTGGTTCTGTGAGATGCTGATAGTGAAGGTTTTTGTTCAAGAGTGAGGTTCTGGTATCGAATTTTCGAATGCTCTCACTGAGGGAGGGAATTTTGTAGATGTTTCATGATTTTGCATCCATGGGAGGTTTTTTCAGCGAGGATTTCCTGCCATGTCCTTTGTAAGCCACAGACGGAGAACGTTTGTGAGAAGCCCTCCACTTGTGACTCCGGCCCGCTCCGCCGCCGATCAGCATGAGACACCAGAATTGCATGGACGATGACCAACTGAAGGGTATTTGTTAGTATAGAATAGTATAGACTTAATGACTACCTGCAATTAGCCTGTTAATACTGTTATATAGATAAATCACTCATACTTGTTGCATGTGTTTGCAGATGACCCCTGCTTTGCAGCTACTGGCCTTTGCAGCTATTGGCCTAGCAGAAATCTGTGTGTCAAGATGGACACCCATGAGAAATAGCCTTGATGTCACAACAGCATGAGAAATCCTCAGGCCATCTCGGCCGAAACTTGTGCAGAACAAAATAAACAACAAAACCGTGCCACCTAATTAGACCTAGACAGTCAAAGCATATCAAAGCCACCCTTGGGCGTTCAAACATCAAACGGTTCTTGCAAAACCTTCCAAGAATTCTTGTGGTGACCTGAGTCCCATGTGGCTCCACAGTCCCAAGCAGCGATTCTTCTCCGCCAAGCAGCGGCACCTTCACGTCCCATTCCGCCACTGCCTCGCGGGGGCGACTGACGCGCGGCTCCCGCATGTGGTGCAGAACAAAATGAGTGACGAGACCAGCAAGGCAGTTTGGATGCAAAGGAAGAGCTGACCAGAGCTTGAGTGCTTATTGGCACTCCCAATGATCACCGGAGTTTCAGGCTCAACCTGGGGGTCGACCCAGGGAAGCATTTCCGAGTCAAGAATCCCGAACGGGGTGTCGAATGCTACACTGTCACTCGAAAGTCGATCGACCACTTCTCCACTTCTTAGACCATCGACTTCTTCTCAAGATTTGGCACATCAGAACTCCAATCTTCATGTGGGTGTGTATTAAGATAGGGAGACCTCGGCTTAAAGCCCACACACCCATGTTGGACCATCCCATCTTCAGCTCGAGGATGTGGTCATGGAAGATGAGGAAGATGAGCTGCTCCACGCACCTTGGTCACCCGATTCGGGATCCGAAGGGTGTTTTTGAGCGACCTCAGATGGAGAAAGACCACCTGGAAGAAGTGGAAGAGTCCAATTCAGCCAGCGGTTGGATGTCTCCCTATTAAAATATACACCCAATATATAGATTGTATAGTAGAAAGTAGGAGGTGGGGAAAAGGAACTAAATAGAATTCCCTCAGTAATGGCGAACAAACAGGGATAAGCTCAGGTTGGAAACCAGGGCCCTGGTTCTAGGTTCTAGCCTGCAGACGTAGCGCTATCGGCGGCTTGGAAAGCAAGCAACTGGTCTATAGTGGTGATCTTGGGTGTGCTGACGAGTCTGAGGATACATGATGTTTTCCATTTAGGACTTATATTAGTTGTGGCTCTTCATTTTAGGCATCTAGTCCCGCCAACAGCAGTTTTGCTTGCTACGATCCTTGCAGTACCTGACAAGGAGTGTATGAAACCACCAGGTTCAGACGATGTCAGAGAGTTTGCAGGTACTGTATATGGAATTGGTGTGTGGTGGCCGCATTCACCATGTTCTACAGCACGCTTCAGTTTTAGCAGCGTATTGGGGACAGCTTCTCTCCTTCTCCGCCTCAGGAGTGTGACGTTTACCTCAACCGGATGTACGATCCGCCGGACTTTGTCGGCGACATGCCACTGGGGACGCGCTTTCCTCCGTCGCGATTCCGTCGAGATCGACGACCGGTCGCGGTCGTGAGGTGGACAAAGGTGTACTTGTTGTTTGCACCGGCTCCACGTATAGCAGAACTATGCATGTGAGGTGGGTGATGGTGGGTGACTGGGTGGTCGAACAAGCATCGTTATATAAGGGAAAATGATGAAACATATCACTGTCGATACCGTGCTGTATACCCTGTATGACAGAAAGCTTAAATCTGAATGAATCAACCAGCCCCGGACACTCGTACGGAATATATGTCTACACTGGGGCGGTTGACCTGGCTTCAATGTAGTCATGGAGTGTTTGGGAGAGGGAACGAAGCTGGACGGAAGCTGTCATTCGGCAAGCTCTTCACATGGTCGGAAGAAGCTTTGGACGAGTCCGAGCCTGGAGTCTTTGGAGTGTGGCTTTGAGCTCGTTCTTTGAAACAGACGATGTTCAATTGAGGAGGAATGTGATAGCATGTGTATGTTGTTTGTTTTTGCAAGGTGTGTAGCTTTCCCTTGACCACCGTCTTTCTGTAGGGCTGTAAACGTGCTTTCTTTCATCAACAACAGCACACCTCCTGTTGGAATAAAACTGTGCATCAACACAAGGGTTCCTTGGCCGACTCCACATGCACACTCAGATCCGGTAGCCTCTCACCTGAAGATTCGGACGACATCACAGCATCTACACCATATACAACAGAAAACCATCCAATGTAGCCCATTGACCAACCCAATGTATTGGTTTCAAGGCATCCATGGATTGACCAATACAGTCAGCATCCATGGAGTGCAAAGGCTGATGGTCAACCGGACTGGAGGCCGGTCGGACCACCGGACCGCGGCGTCGCCGGATGGAGGGTCCGCCGCCAGAAGGCGCACCTTGGGGGGTGCGCTTCTTTTCGGAGGTGGAGCATGTTGGAGCTGCAGAATAAGAAGGCATCACAACGACGATATGTTCATATGTTTTCCAAGATACTTTTCGCACAGCATTGGAGCATTGGGCGATTTCCATCACCAAGCAGTGCACGCAGTATATTATTTGGAGGGTCATTGACAGTGCTGCCTTTGCCCCACACGCCCAGCTAAGGTATCTTCTGCAGTACCCGCTGCGGCCCAGCCCATTGGCTGCACGAGTTGGGGTGTGAAACTCCCTTCTTCACCACTGCGAAGATGCATGGAACATCATGAAACACTGCAGAAAATAGACCCGCAACAGATCGGAAAACAAAAACGAAAACGGTAGATGTGTTGGGAGTGGTTGGGAGCTGCAGGTCTAGCCCGCCAGCAGTCCAAGGGTCACATGATGCCCACCGAGGCTATCGTCCCTATGGAGACCAGGGCTCCTTGGAGCGTGTGGAACTGAAACCAAAGAGTCGACGTTTGCGCTTCATGCGGCCTGTCATCAAAGGGGCTTAAGGGGGGAAGGGCAGGGAATGACGTATCCGGGATGGGCGGGGCTGTTTGGTGTTTTTCCCGAAAGCACCTGCGAAGGGTTTTTCCTTAAGCACTGCTGCCTATTTCATCTTCCTTAATCTCTTTCTCTTACTTCATCTTCCCCACTCTCTCTTCCTTACTCTCTTCCTCTTACTTCATCTTCCCCACTCTCTCTTCCTGACTCTCTTTATCCTACTTCACCTTCCTTACTTCATATTCTTTACTAACTTTCTCCTACTTCACCCTCACAACATCATCATCTAATCATCACCTCATAGGTTATTAATCTCATATCATATCATATTATATCATATCAGGTTATAATATCATATCACATCACATCAATGTCATAACATATCATATCATATCATGTTTTAATATCATATCACATCACATCAATGTCAGATCATATCATCTCATATCATGTGATAAAATAATATCACATCACAACATAACATATGAAGTAGAAGTATCAGATCAACAATATCAAACAAAGTACATCAGAAGTAGATATTGATAGGTAGGTATTGATAAGTGGGTATAGACAGGTAGGTGTAGGTAGGTAGGTGTAGATAGGTAGGTGAAGATAGGTAGGTGAAGATAGGTAGGTGTAGACATCTTCCTTAAGACACCTACCCAACTTCACCTACCCAACTTCTTCTTTATTCTTCTCTTTAGGCGGCGGGGCGGTGCGAGCAGGTCTTACGAAACGCAACCCTCTCGTGGAATCGTGGCCATCGATCGCGCGCGCGTGTGGTGAGACGCGAATCGCGTTTGTCCGTGAGCAACCCTCTGCGGAGATCGTGCGTGTCGATCGCGCGAACGTGTGGTGAAACGTACATTTTTGGTGTGCGCGGTGCGTTCCGCCATTATAATTCTGGTGACAAGGTTTTGTCGACTTTGCGTTTCCCCATTGTAATTCTGGTTTCAAGGTTTGCCCTCGAGCAACCCTCTGCGGAGATCGTGCGTGTCGAGTGCACGAACGTGTGGTGAAACGTACATTTTGTCTGAGCGCGGCTGGGCGCACCATTATAATTCTGGTCACAAGGATGTCGCCAACGTGCGGTCCGGACCGCATACTCATTGGGAAATGCGATTCCAAGGTCTGTGCCCGGTCTGTGCCCGGATCGTTCCCCCATTATAGTTCTGGTCGCAATGATGTCGTGAATGTCACCTCTGAACTTTCTACAATGCGCGCTCTGGACGTCATACTCGTTGGGAACCGCGATTTCATGGTTTGTGCTCGGATCGTTTCCCCATTGTAATTCTGGTCACAACGATGTCTCCAATGTGTGCTGTGGACTTCATACTCGTTGGGAAATGCGATTTCATGGTCTGTGCCC